ACTGTTAGTGACTGGAAATTAGCAGCTGCTAATTTAACATCCCGAACAGAGAATAACTGGAGATGAGAAACATTAGGTAAAACCAGGTTTCCATGCCAGATAGTCAGACGCAATCACTAACTCCTACTAACTTGGTGTAAAGTGGAATAGACACCTTAGCAACTTCAAGCACCCCAATCATCCTATCTATTCCAGATATAAGTATTTATTATTATTATTGACACACATTATTATTATAATTATTAACATTATTATTATTATTATTATATGCACTGAAACATGTTCATAAGCATAGTGTTTATAGTTTTCAAAAAGTACCTCTAAGAGGCACACAAAGGGCTTAGAGGGAAAGAGATACACATGGGGCTGAGAGGACAAAGATATGCACAGAAGGGCTTGGGGGACAAAATGACAAAGAAATGTGACAATGGGACACACAGAGGGCTGGGGGGACAAAGAGACACACGGAGAGGCTGGGGGGAGAAGGGAGACAAACAAAGGGGCTGGGGGAGACCCACATCTGGGCTGGGGGAGAGGAAAAGAGACACAAAGGAATTGGGTTAGAAAGAAACACAGAAATGGGCCGGGAAAGGTAGAGACACACAAAGTTATAATTTTTTTTCTGGGTCTGGACTACTCATATGCTGTGATTTAACACCCAACTTTTGGAAATTTGAATCTTGGTTAGGTGTATTTTCTTAAACTCTCTGCTAGTCAACCTGCTTCGTATATGCAGATTTTATACAGGGCAGATAAAAAACATGGGGGGCGTTGCAAATTATGGTCACAAAGAGTGAAACCTTTTTTTTGCTGTTTGCAGCAATAATATAGCCAGTCCAAACTTGAATAGTGTAAATGAGACCCCAACAAGTTACATAAGAGAGATTAGCATAAAGTTCCTTGAACACCAGCATCACTATAGGTACAAAATAACATAGAGTCCCAAAGACCCCAAGATAAACAAAGTGACCTGGCGTTTGAAGGGACCCCTATGGAGGCATTATAGATGCACTATGGTGTAATCAGACTTTCTTCTATATCTACACTTTTAAATTAAACATTGCTTTCCATTTTCATTTTGCAATATACAACGTCTGTCCAGAAAGTATCCAGCCATGTAATATGAAAAATAGAGACATTTATTGTCAGGTTAGGATAACAGAAATATACAAGTCAGGTCAGGATACCAGAAGAACACAAAGTCAAAACGAAGCCAAGGTCAATGAAAGGTATTCGCAAGAGAGTCACTGAAGCACTAAACATGTAACTATACAGAAACCACTATAGAGCAATAAGTAAGGGCCTTAAATAGGTGCACATGTGTTCTTATTGGTCCACGTCATCTCTGCGTCTCCAAACAGCATAGGGTCACCTAGATGACGTGGCTCCTTTAACCCCTTCAGGACACATGACATTCCTTTTAATCCAGAAGTTTGGTCCTTAAGGGGTTAAAGACAGGTGTGACATCATAGCTTTTAAATCTATTTATGGACGTGCCTTTAGAGCGGGCATTGTCTGAACATTTGACTGCAGATCTGTGCGCCGAAAGGGTATGTTTTTACCCACAGGTTTTCAGGTAAACGGCCACGTGGAGTGGTCGGGCTGTGTGGACAAGGGGGAGCTGCTCGATCTGCAGCAGGTAAATATTACAGTTACATGATTAAAGCACCTTGGTTAGTGGTAGAATTAATTCTCCCATAAAGCTTTTACAGCTATAATGCTGGCAAATCATCAGGGGATATGTAGTCCACAACATCTGGAGTGCTGAAGGTTGCCTACCCTTCTCTTGGTCAATAAGTATCTGGTGGCACCTCTTTCTAAATATATGAAGTTTACAATATACGCAAGGTGCTTTGTGTCACCTTTCCACTGGATACTATTTTGAATGGTGTGAGCTTTGAGGTACCCCTTGTTACTTTTTCTCATTGCAGAAATTGCAGATACCCATCTTATGAACCTTAATTCCATTGAAGATTTATAAAGAGAACCAGATGAGGAAAGGATTATGATACTGTGAGCCAGACCGATAACAATTCTCTTTCCAACCAGTATCTATCTAAATAGTATGAATATTGTCTGGCTGCCAGAGTCTGCCAGGTTTTATAATATTATAAATTGATAACTTAAATGAATTATTCCAAGTGTCTGTGTAACATATTCCTATTTATGTCTCATGGTAAATACTTGGTGCAGATGATAAAAGGAATTCATCACAAAGTTTTTGATGTCAATCCACCCGTCCAAACAGTATGCAACATTGTGAGGAACTGAGTAATTGTAATTACACACAAAATACTCTCACAACATCAATATCTTGGCTCTAAATAGCTGTCTTCTAGGTTTATTAGGTGGCAACTAAAGCTACACCCACTGAATTTCCTAACCTTCTCTTGCAGGACATGAGACACGGAAACGGACAATTATAACCATAAATGGCCAACGTGACAACATTGCTAGATTTATAGCATTTCAACAGAGCAAGCCCTGCGTGCCTTATGTGTCTTAGAGTTATATTTAACATGTATGGGATTTTTAAATGTTGAGAAACCGCAGATCTTTCAAACAGAACTTAAATCCGAACATTTACCAAAATGGCAAGTCATTAAACTCGACGCTTGTAGAAAACATCCTAAGCTTCAGTCTTCTGGATAATTTTCAGATATCTGTCCAGTTACTATGTTTATAAAACTAGAAAATTAGATAATCTTTTGCAGAAGCATGTGGAGAACATTATATTATGGTACGCACCCAATCATTATTTTCCCCTCACAAAAAGAAAAATTAATTTATCGAATACTGAGATATTTAGTTATTAATATTTATTTTACCAAACAAATTAAACCTTTAATTTACCTTTACTTTACTTAAAACATATATAATCTTGACTATGACATACAAAACAGTCAATTACAACTTTAAACGTAGTTAGTCATATACCAAAATAATAGATTCTCATTATCTTTATTTTTGATCAGATTATGAGCAGCCAATTTTGATGAAAATGTATAGGTAGATAAATATTGGAAAAAGAGGTAAATGTAATTTTTCTATGCATTAGGATGTACGGGGTATCATTGATTGGAAAAAACGCAAGTCATTCACATTTAAATGAAACCTTACTTTAAAAACAAATAATATTTTATAAACTAAATTAGGCTTTAAGTATCAAAATTAATTCATCAAAAAGGTAATAAGGTTATATATATATATATATATATATATATAAAAACCTTACAATTAATGGGTTTATCTTATAAGAGCAGGCATTAGGTTGCTAGAGTAGGACATGTAAAGAATGGGGTACATTGACGTTGTGGCAGGCTTATACAATCTATGATCATATACTGTAACTAAACCCCCATTAATTTTGCCTAAGGAGTGTGTTTTAAAATAAAAAATATACATATCACATTTTGGTAGCTTTGAAGTTGAGCGAGTGCACTGGATGTTGAATATTGTATTTATTGGTCACAGCAGCACTCTTGTAATGTGTGTGTACAGTTGTGCTCAAAAGTTTGCATTCCCTTGGAGAATTGGTAATATATGTACCATTTTTAAAGAAAACATGAGTGAGCAGGCAAAACACATTTATTTTATTTCTTATGGGATTCATAATCAACTGTAGGTTATAACAGAATGGCACAATCATAAAACAAAACATGGCAGCAAAGAAAAAAAATGAAATGACCCCTGTTCAAAAGTCTGCATACCCTTAGTTTTTCCATACTGTGTATTGCGCCCTTTAGCATCAATAACAATTTGCAGTCTTTTGTAATAGTTGTCTGAGGCCTCTAATTCTTGCAGGTGGTATAGCTGCCCATTCGTCTTGGCAAAATACCTCCAGGTCATGCAAAGTCTTTGGTCATCTGGCATTAACTGCACATTTGAGATCTCCCTAGAGTGATATTAAATTCTGGAGACTGATGGCCACTCCAGAACCTTCACCTTTTTCTGCTGTAACCACTGGAGGGTCAACTTGGCCTTGTGGTTAGGGTCATTGTCAAGCCGGAAAGTCCAAGAACGTCCCATGTGCAGCCTTCATGCAGAAGAATGAAACTTGTCTGCCAGTATTTTCTGATAACATTCTGCATTCATCTTGCCATCAACATTCACAGGATTCCCTGTGCCTTTAGAACTCACCCCAACTGTGTACGCAAACTTTTGAGCACAACTGTATATATTTATCTGCTACTGTAAGCTTAGGGAGTCCAGGAGTAACCTTTTACTTGCAAGGAATAATAACGCTCCAAATGCTCACTGATATCGGCATACACGCTAGAGTTGACACAATAATGCTTTTCACAGATGCACACTGCCTTGGCAAAGAACCAAACTGGATACAAAGAAAATATGGCCTAGGCTCTAAACTCCAAACCTTTTTATTTTTGCATTTACTGCCCAAAGTCACACCTTTCACAATTAGCAAAGCTTAGGGAAAATATTGTCAGTTTGGAAAAAAATAAAACGGACTGGACTTGGCCGGGGAAGCAGTCATTTTATTACATAACGATTCTTGGCAGCTGACTTTACAGTGCTGGCCGCTCCTCAGTAGCTAATCAACAATAAGAATGTTGTGAGTTCAAAGCCGCCAGCAAGGAGAAGAGTTGGCATTATTATAAAGTAAACTTAAAGCCAGAGTGAGGCTATATACTATGACATGCGCATAGTCATCCTTTCACCATATTCCTTAAGCTACCCCATAAAGCACAGACACAAATTTGTGAGAATTACTTAAAATAGTCCTTCACCTAAAATGTCTGCTTTTTATATTACCCTGAAAACCCCACCCCCACTGTACCCTAATCCAATTAAAACTTCTGAATGACTCCTATGCCTGCCTCCTAGCTATGTCAGGGCCCATTCCCCTTATCTCTAGTGGTCCATGGGCTTCATTCAGAGAGTCAGAAGTCTAGTACCAGCAACATCCCAGTAAAACACTCAATATTAGATTAATCCCATTATGGTTTGTGTATAATGCAATAAACCAATAGGTGCCTATGATGTATATTGCACTATCCCAAGAACATCCATCTTGAATGCATTAAGCGTATTATGAATATTAAAGGTATTTTGGTGGTCCCTTATTTATTAAACATCCTTTATAACGTGATCACTTGTGCATCATGTAGTTTTTTTTTTTTTTTTTGTATAATATGAGCCAGACCTTGTCGTATAATTATGCTCTAATGATGAGGCAACGTATTACTTCAGAATGTATAATTGAAAGATTTAAAGAGGAATTGTCACAGGTTTGAATAAAACAATACAATCACCTATAACTAGTGATGTCCCGAACAGTTCGCCGAACGGTTCGTTGCGGACGGCGAACATATGCGCTGTTCGGTCCGCCCCCTATGTCATCATTGAGTAAACTTTGACCCTGTACCTCACAGTCAGCAGACACATTCCAGCCAATCAGCAGCAGACCCTCCCTCCCAGATCCTCCCACCTCCTGGACAGCTCAATAAGAATGCAGCTTCATAATGAATGTAAAATGGATGCTGTCCAGGAGGTGGGAGGGTCTGGGATGGAGGGTCTGCTGCTGATTGACTGGAATGTGTCTGCTGACTGTGAGGTACAGGGTCAAAGTTTACTCAATGATGACATAGGGGGCAGACCGAACAGTGCATATGTTCGCCGTCCGGGACATCACTACCTATAACTAGTGTTAATCTTTTATTTTTATTTTATTTTTTTCATGCGATTTACTTTTACATTTATATGAAATTTTTAGGAAATGAAAATCATAATCCAGTTCAGATAATGTCAACGCCTGGGCAAACACTGCAAATAAAAAGGTAAAATAGGAACATTTATTGTTGTTTATTGTTTATTTTTTAATATCTCCTGTTCTCTGTGTGCTTTCTCTACGCTGCCTGCCATGTGCAAAGTAAACAGTATAGCAACGATTGTCACAGTTTTGGACAATCATTCTTTCTTCACACTGGAATGGTTAACAGGGCCAAGCAAATTCATGATTCCGGGGGCCCTGTCTACATGTTGGGTCCTAGGTGGATATCTATGGTCACCTTATAGTTAATCATGCTCTGCACCATACCACTCTATACCAAACACTATCCCAGACCATTCTCTGCAGACACTCTCCCAGTAGTACTGCTCGTAGATCCATCAAGAGTAACAGATGATGGAGACACAAACTTGTGAGACAAAACTACACATGTTGCATCTTTTAAATGAGGCTGAAAGGAAAAAAAAAAAAAAACAACATACTGCCAAATATTCATACATTGTACCTTCCTAAATGTTCTAGAACTCACTTATATGGAATAATAATCAAGGATTTGCCAAAACATTGTCATTGCTCGGGGTCTGGTAAATTAATTAACAGTGTTAAAATGTGCTCCAACAGGTTTTTTTTATATAATGGTACTGAATTTGAGAGCATTAATCATGACTACTCACCTATGAGCAAGAGATTAAGAGGCATGTAGGAAAAGTGATTGCCTTTAGCAGGATGACTCAATAACAAAGGAATTATACTTAACATATAAGTGACTTTTCCTGCTGGCCTTAAATAGAGAGAAGCACGAGTTTTTTTTCCTGGCAGAAATGGCAATCTGTGAAGACTTAATTCCGGGGGGATATTTCTTTCTGTGGTTCTGATGAAAGGTTGATGCGTGCCTTACTGTAATTGGTAAGCAGCACTATAGATGGCTGTGGGTATATATCGTATCTACAATTCCCAAGATTGTTTTTCTATGCTTCATTTAAAAAATATTCTTTGCTTTATTGCGATCAACAAAATAATATTCTCTTCTGCTTTTAACTGTTTAAGAGCATGAGTACGGAACACGTAAGGAAGTAAAGGCATGAATAACTTGTATGGTTTGCACATAGGTTATGATAAATGTATGTATTAACTGAATCCTCCAACTCACTGATTACGTAAGAGTACAGTAAATGATCGATTATCTACGGCTCACAATGACAGTGGCCAGCAGGCAATCATTTTCAGCTCACAACCATCAGTTCTCATTCATAACCAGTCTCGCGGTGATCCTCCATATTAAATTGCTTATCAAGGGAACACGCAGATTAGAGATCTGTAAAGGTAAATCATCTTATTTTACAAATTGATTATCAACCTTTACAGATAGATTTTCAATTGGTATTATGGATTATACTATAATAGGGGATGAGAGAAAGTAAACTGTAAGATAAACAATTAACTATTAATGTCATGTCATTTGCAAGGTGGATATCCCGTATGGACACCCACGGAACCTTTGGGATTACAGTTTCCATACATCAAAAATAAACTGGAAGATATACTAACAAAATTAAAGGCTTAATGGCATGCCCTACAGGTAGTCTCCTAAAGAATGTCATAAACAAGTTTTTGCTAATATAGATGGAACTTCAGATTGATACCACCAACAAGGGCAGTCCAGAGAGTAGTCCAGAGAGCCATGAGTGAGGTATGACTGTCATCCTTGGAGGCACAGCAAGCAAGGGATTTATGTACGCATTACTAGTTAGGTGTAAGGAGACACAATACATACAAACCATTGAACAAAATGTAGTAGACAGATACTAAGTGAGGGCTGAGCAGCTTTCTCTCTAACTAGTTCCCTCTCAAGTTATCCCTGTGTAGAGCACCTATTGCTGTCATTGGGGCTCACAGAAAACCCAGAATATTTTTTATGATGTTCCAGCTCTGGGTGTCTGGTCACTTGGACATCTTGTTTGGTGGCTGCTCATGTATTAAATTGAACTTAAGATGCTGTCATAATTAGACTTTCGAAAGAACATTTCACTATTTCTTAAAAAAGAAAATTCTTCCTGAATGAGCTTTATATTTGGGATTTATAAAAGGGAAGCAGTGATAAGGAGCTGTACTTTTTATACATTTTAATTTCAGTGTTATGAAATAGAGTAATGTTTATTTCCATTCTAATGAGATCATTATCTTCTTTCAAATCTACAAATTACTCATTTTAATGACTGTGTTCTAGAGCGGTAAAAAAATGAGACAATGCCGACACAAAGAAAAGCAGGATGGAGCTCATTGCTTTTACATTAACCTGAAAAAAAAAATATCACACAAATGATGCATTAAAGATCTACAGTGCTTGTTATCTAATTTCTGGCTGCATGCGTGGCACTTTAAGCGCTGAATGCTAAGATATGGCTAGAAGTGGCTGAGAGAAGGATTCGATTTGCTGAAAAGGTGGACACTAAGAACAATAGATTTTTTTTCTCTCCTTTTTTGATGCAGTATGTTGTATAATGTAGAAATATGACACATCAACCCTGGAGTCTATCTTAACACTAATTAATCAGGTTTAGTACATAATAATTTATAATTTTACATCATGCAGCCGCTTCTCAAAGCAGCTGCCTATTATAAAAAGAATGATCACCAGTTCAGTGCTATACCAGGCTCAGGGCCGCCATCAGAAATTTTGGGGCCCCTAACACAGCTCAAGGTCTGGGCCCCCCTTCAAGCCTGCCTCCAAATCCCACCCACAGGAATACACACACACTAACAGATACAAATACTGAAACAGACATACACACATGCATAGGGAGATGCTGAGACACACACACATATACAAGCAGACATACATACTGACAAACATACATATACATACTGCATATTGATATATACATACATACCGACAGGCATACATACATACAAACACACACAGGCATGCATACAGACACGCACTGGCATACACACACACACACATACACTGGCATACATTGGCATACATACACACATGCACTGGCATACACACACACATACACTGGCATTCATACACTGGCATACATACATACACATACACTGGCATCCACACACTGGCATACATACACACATACACTGGCATTCATACACACATACACTGGCATTCATACACCGGCATACACACTGGCACACACATACAATGGCATACACACACTGGCATTCAGACACATACACTGGCATTCATACACCAGCATACACACACACATACACTGGCATTCATACACACATACACTGGCATACACACACTGGCACACACATACACTGGCATTCACACTGGCATACACTGGCATTCATACACTGGCATTCAGACACACATACACTGGCATTCATACACCAGCATACACACAAACATACACTGGCATACACACACTGGCATTCATACACTGGCATTACAGACACATGGCATTCACACACACATACACTGGCATTCATACACTGGCATTCATACACCGGCATTCATACACACATACACTGGCATACACACACTGGCATTCATACACACATACACTGGCATACACATACACTGGCATACACACACTGGCATTCAGACACTGGCATTCAGACACATACACTGGCATTCAGACACCAGCATACACACACACATACACTGGCATATACACACTGGCATTCAGACACTGGCATACACACACATACACTGGCATTCATACACCAGCATACACACACACATACACTGGCATTCAGACACACATACACTGGCATTCAGACACTGGCATACACACACATACACTGGCATTCATACACCAGCATACACACACACATACACTGGCATACACACACTGGCATTCATACACACATACACTGGCACACACATACACAGCATACACACACTGGCATTCAGACACACATACACTGGCATTCATACACCCGCATACACACACACATACACTGGCATACACACACTGGCATTCATACACACATACACTGGCATACACACACTGGCATTCATACACACATACACTGGCATACACACACTGGCACACACAATGGCATTCATACACTGGCATTCAGACACCAGCATACACACACATACACTGGCATTCATACACACATACACTGGCATACACACACTGGCACACATAATGGCATTCATACACTGGCATTCACACATACACTGGCATTCAGACACTGGCATACACACATACACTGGCATTCATACACCAGCATACACACACACATACACTGGCATACACACACTGGCATACACACACTGGCATACACACACATACACTGGCATTCATACACTGGCATACACACACATACACTGGCATACACACACTGGCATTCATACACACATACACTGGCATACACACACTGGCATTCATACACACATACACTGGCATACACACACTGGCATTCATACACACATACACTGGCACACACAATGGAATTCATACACTGGCATTCAGACACCAGCATACACACACATACACTGGCATACACACACTGGCATTCAGACACACATTCATACATACACTTCATCCCCAGCCACCCTCCTCTCTTCCTTACCATTTCGTCGCAGGAGGGTGGCTGGGGATGATGGGCATCGGCTGCCTCTCCTCATGCTGCGTCCTCCTTCCCGCGCGGAGTAAAGTGGGAGGAAGTGACCGGACGTCACTTCCTCCCAGCAGCACTTGCTTCCGGCTGCATTTTTTTTTTTTTTTTTTTTTAAAGGGGCCCGTTCGCGCTATTACAGCGCTAAACGGGCCCCTGAAGATAATAGGGCCCATTGGGTGGCCCTAAATGATTGGGGCCACCTGATGGGCCCCATCAGCGTGTGGGCCCCGGTGCAGATGCACCGGCGGCAGTTCCGCTAATCCACGTGGGGCCCGGGCGGCCGGGCCCCCCAGGGCCGCCGGGCCCCCCAGGGCCGCCGGGCCCGTGACAATTGTCACGGTTGTCATGCCCTGATGGCGGCCCTGACCAGGCTACTTAGAAGGAGGGGGTGGTGCCCCATGGTGTCTGTTGAGAGGGAGTGCTGGGGAGAAGAACTTTGCTGCAGGCCCCTCTATTAGTAGGGGACTATGGCGGGATCGCACTGAATATCTGGCTGTGCAGTGCCTGACTGGCATACCTTGATACAGCAACATTTACCAGTGAGCTGCTCTTGTCTGGGGCTGTTTTACTGCAATAGGTGAGTGGCTCCTCATCCTTCCCTACTTAAGTCCAACCTGCGCTGAGCAGTTGCTAGAAATGCGCTACCCACCACCAAGTGTCAGCAGCTCGGTGTGTGTGTCAGTATGTATGTGTATATTTTTCAGTATGTATGTATCTATGTGTATGAACGTGTATGTATGTCGTTATGCATGTATTTATCTGTATGTATGTTAGTGTATGTCTGTGTGTCTGTATATGTCTGGGTGTCTGTTTCAGTATGTGTGTGTCAGTATGAATGCCTGAATGTGTGTATGTCTGTTTCAGTATGTGTGTCTGTAAGTATGTTAGTATGTTAGTGTGTCATTATGTGTGTATCTTTGTGTGTATCTGTGTCTTTTGTATCAGTGTGTGTGTCTGTTTGTGTGTTCATGTGGGCGGGATTTGGAGGTGGTCCCCCGGGGTCTCAGACCTTGTGCAGTGTTAGGGGCCCTAAAATTTCTGATGGCTGCTCTGTCCATAACAATGTGCGTGTAAGTGCCATTGTCTGTGTAAATGACAGTATTCTATGTGTCTATGGAGGATCCTGTGAGAGTAATAATGTCTGCTCCTGGCGAGGACAGGTTCAGGTAAGTAATCTCACCTGGACATGGGACCTCCAGAGGTGATGTCACCGTCGGGAGTCTTTGTGAGTTTGGCCAAATCCCCAGATGGTGACAATGCCGCTTTAACTTGGTTCTCGGCTTCTGAATGCTATGTAGGATAATACAACGTGCAATATATATATATGGGTGTAAATGAATTACATACATATACCTGATCTTCCTGCAAGGAGATAATTTGTATTTGTTTGTGTTAAATTTCTTTGACAACCTTGAAGTTATCTATTCAATAAAATAACCACTTCAATCTAATTAAAAAAAATATTACGTGTGTGGAATTAGTTAATATGCAAACAATGACACGTTTGTTAAATTAAACTCAGACCAGTGTTAGAACATATTGATTCTTTCACTATTAAGTCTCTTGCCTGTTTAACGAATTGCTCATTACTTTTAATGTTTTTTGGGCATCTGGTAAGTGTATCATTAACTCATTAAAATCCATAATGCTTGCTACCTTGAAATAGGACCCCCATTAAGTCAGTCTACATTAGAAGTAAAGAGAAGCAGACGTTTAATGTTTAATATAATTGTTGCTGGCGTTTTAAAAAGCGCCCACATATTCCACAGCACTATAGGGGAGAACATACACAGAGGGCCCTACCCGGGAGCTGAGATTTAGCCATTGAAACTCTTTTATACAAAGTGCTCAGTTAGATAGCTCATGGGTTTCCAGGATATATTGGAGATGTGAAACAAGGGGAAGCAGGGGGAATTTGGAAGTGATAGCCAAAAGATGTTAACGGAGTTGCAGTCACTGGTAAAATGTAAGGGGAATGAGGGGGTAATTGAGTAAGATCCCAAACAGCTGAAAGAGTATGCTATCAATTTAGTAGGAACCTGGGTGCTTAGAGATATTTGGGAGATGTAGTATTGCTTGGATCTGGGTGTATGAAGTTATGTTTACAAACCCCTGTATTTTGCATATATGTATTTGTGATGTGTCAAATATAAAATGAAATGTAGCAAATCATATCTCTTTATCCTCTAACGGGGCACCTCCACTTTAAATCCCAGTCAATCATTGTTGGTCTATACACCTGCAATATATGCCCTCGCTTTGACTTGTCGGAATTCGTTTATGATGTAATTTGCTAAACATTTCATATAAATTTAAAAGAAAACAGAACATCTGAAATGGTTAACAAAAGTTATAGATGATTTTCAATGTTTTATATAGTGGTGTAAATTCGAAAGAAGTGGCAGGTCCCTCATGAAATATTTTGGCGCGTCTTTGACAAACTCTTTTATAGACGAACAGGATACTGACATTTCTTTGATGGACTGTCATAAAAAGCTGACCCTTTAATGGCAATAAACAATCTGCACTATCAGAAAGATCAGAAAATGTATTGAGTTCTTTGTAATATAATCATCAATATTCTCTTAAAGTAGTGGTTCTCAAACCATTCCTCATGGCCCACCAACAGTCCAGGACTTATGCATTTCCCTGTTTTATTCCAATGGAGATACTAACAAAACCTGGACTGTTGGTGGGTTTTGAGGACTGGTTTGAGAACCACTGTCTTAAAGGGAGACAAGAGCATTCACAGAATGCCCTGTATATTATACTATTGGTGTATTGTGCCATAGTCAGGAGAAATCTTGAAAATTACAACAGAAAAGGACTAAGAGGGTTTTTAACTTGAGTGCAAATTCAAATGAATTTCAAATTTAAGATCAGAATAGCCAAACTGAAAAAGTCTAAGTCAGCTATACTTTCTGTTCAGCTACTATGGCCTTAAAGGGACACTCCAGACCCCCTAACTCTAGCTTGCCAAAAAGCTTCATGTGTGAAAAATGTGTTCTTTTTTTTCTCATTTTGCAAAAAGAGCAGATATCAGTAGAAATTGACACTTTTAAAAATTATCCTGGTAACACCCCCTTGCCTTTCAAGCAGACAACAGGTCTTGTTACTTCCTGGTTTGTTTAGCTCATTGGAGCTGAACTCAAGAGGCAGCAATTTTTCAGAGCACCTGCCTTGCAAAGACATCTCATTTAGCTGTATTGGGAAGGCTGTGATTGGACTGTCACAAGAAGTCTGTGTGCGCTTATAAGGGGAGGGTTTGCAAAGGCTGCAGACAAAAGAACTGCAGGTTTTGTAAGCTGTTTATAAATATACTAGCAATTAAAAAAATACATAATTCAATGCTTGCAAGTTTTCATTTGGAATATATCTACTAAACAGTGGTTTTTATTTATTTTGTATTTGTCCAGTGGAGTGTCACTTTAAATTTGAAATTCATCTTAAATTCACTTTAAATTATCATTTAAATTGCCTCCACTTGTAAGGCACTACAGTATTGGGTGCAGTGATCACTGAGAGTGTTTCTCAGGGCTGTTCCACAGAGAAGATTACTTGACATGACTGTTCTCCAAAGCACATCTCTTTATTGGGCTGTCTTTCGACAGTGACATCACTGCTGGGAGTCTAGTGGCCAGGGGAACAGGTAAATGTGAGATTTACTTACCTTAACCAGTCCAACGTCAATGCTGTACTGCATGAGAATACAGCATTGAGGTCTGTGGAGGACGCCAAAAGACCGTGGGATCGTCCATAGACGCAGCCAATTCCCAGACTCTGCCCTGAGTCTAATAAAGTCAGGCTGAGGAGAAATGCAGAGACTAACTAGTCCATGCTTTGTTTCTCTATATCTCTTGACTAAGTTGGAATTTGGTGCTGCTTTAAGATGTAAAAAATTTCAAAAAAAATAGGTGAGCTCAAAGTAAAACAAAACAAATAAAAAACAAACATAAATAAAAGGCACTATTACATCCTTACTCAGAGAAACAATAGAGGAACTGTAAAGACAATGTAATGATCTAAATCTGAGAAAACTGTTATAAAATACAATGTGTACATTTAAAGTGCTTTTGACCTTTTATTTAAGTGTTTTCAGTTGAAGAGTTTTTAAATAAATTCATTAACAACGAAGCAATAAAGTCTTGCCTGCACTTTTCATTATTATTGTTACATTGTGTCTATTACAAGATAACTTGAAGCGGCTTCATTTTAGTATTGCTACTTTTGCCTCTGATTGAATTATATTTACATAACCGAGTAGTTCTGATTATAATCCGTGATGTACTGGTTACTAGCAACAGTAAGAAATAAACACACTTTCATAATAGAAACACAAATATTATAAACAAGTGAATAATCAAGGTGCTTAAAATATGGAACCAATGTTAAACACAGTGAAGTTTTACTTCAGTGAAATACCCCTTTATGGTGCAGAAAAAGACATATTTTTATTGAGAACAGTACTCTCGTAAAAATGTAATTTTCTGTGCAAAAGATAATGCAGCGACCAAACGGGTTAAGCTTGTGCCCTATAGTTATAGGTAAACTTGTTCGGTGTACCATTATGGGAATCAGTGGCTGCCCTATCATCTTGAAAATATTCGGCTCGGTTCGGCATTCCGAAATTCGGGACTTCGGCACTTCAACACTTCGGAACTTTGACACTTTGGAACTTCACCACTTCGGCACATTGAAACTCTGGCATTTCAGGACTTCTCTTGCAGCTGCTTTGTAGAAAACTCCCTAATTCCCACGGTATCAGGGAGTTATCTACCAAAAGGCTGAAAGACCAACTCATAACTCTTATTGGTTACTTAATCAACCAATCAGAGTGTTTTGAGTCAAATTACACAGCGTGGGGAAATTCCAAAGAACTTTCCCACGCTGTGTAAAATGACACAGAGCACTCTGATTGGTGGATTTCAAACCAACCAATCAGAGTGGTGTGACAGGTAAATGTAGAGACTTACCTGTCAGTCTCTTCATTTACCTGTCAGAGCACTCTGATTGGATGGCTTAAACCCACCAATCAGAGTGCTCTTAGCCTAATTGCAGGGCGGGGCAAGGCTTTATAAGCCCTCCCCCACCCTGTAGAGCTCAGTCTGCGCGGAGCCCTCGCCGTGTGTAGATGGATTATTATTTTTTGCGCTCGGGTTTATTTTTTTATTTTTTTTAATTGCGTCGGTTATTATGGATTTTTATTTGGCCTTTTTTGGGGCTTAAAAAATAAGATTTTAGAAGAAAGAAAACATCAAATGATAAGTTTATTTTTATTTTTACAGGTACTTAGTTCAAGGTCCCCCCCTCATTATTTTTAGGGTGAGGGGGTAGGTAGGGGTTAATTTTTTGGGGGAGGGGGTGACTAGGGGTTTGGGGACCCCAAGTCACCGGGGGGTGGGGGGTTAAATTTGTGTTTAGGACCCCCACCTGCCGCTCAGGGGTGGGGGCCAGGAGGGAGGACATTAGGTCCCCCCAATATGTATTTAGGGCCCCCACCCACTGCTCAGGGGTGGGTGCCATGGGGAGGACATTAGGTCCCCCCTTATTCTTGTTTAGGGCCCCCACTCACTGCTCAGGGGTGGGGGTTAGGGGGGAGGACATTAGGTCCCCCCCCAATTTTTATTTAGGGCCCCCACCAACCGCTCAAGGGTGGGGGCCGGGGGTGGGGGGGCAATAGGTCCCCCCCATTATTTTACTTTAGGGCCCCCACCCGCCGTTTGGGGGTAGGGGCCGGTGGGGAGGACAATAGGTCCTCCCCCCTTTTTTTACTTTAGGGCCCCACCCGCCGGTCAGGGGTGGGTGGCAATAGGTCCCCCCCTTTAGTTCAAAAGCCCCCACTCGCACGTTGCCCGGACAGGAAAGTGTTACAGACGTCAGTGTGGCAAACGTGCCTATGCCACGAGCTCCTGGAGGAGCCTGCTAGCTAGCCTCCTGCCTAAGGGCTATGGGCCGTATCCCAAGAACCTGGGATTAGCAGCTTTCCCTGGGTGCCCCTGGTTCGGCACTTTCCCTGCATTCGAATGGAACTGAACACTAACTCCCTGGTGGCTGTTCGCATGAAGAAACCCACAAATTGTCATCAGCGGTACTTAGCCATGATTGTTGTGAAACTAAATTTGGCATGAGGACTTCGTGGGTCCCTGGTCACATCAGTGGGACTTAGCTGCGAATGTTATGGAACTGGCTTCGACATGAGGTGACTATGCGGTTCCCAGACAACTTGGTCTGTGGTTTTGAATGACTTTTCAACCCGCAGGAGAGCACTTGTTGCAGGGAAGATGCCTGAGACTAAGGGGCACAAAAGCTACCCAAGATCCAGCCAGAGCACCCTATATTTCAGACGCCGGAGCTCCCGAGGGTTGACCGGCAAAGCACCAAACTCCCTGGAACTGTTTTGGGCATAGGACTACGTGTGCGGCTGGTTAGAACTTTAACATGGTGGTATTTCCCCTTGCATGGATCTGAGCGCTATTTTGAGAACTTGGGCGCTCAGATCAGGGCTATTTGGGAATGTATTATTTGTGTGGTTATTTTATGTTTTTATTATGTTTTGGAGCATTTTTAGGTTTTATATTTTTATCTTTGCCTCTCTATTCCTGAGAGATAATTAGTTTACCAGTCTTTAACGCAATTATCTCCCAGGCACATAGATCTATAGGAGGGTCTTGTCTTGCATTGATTGGAGACCCCATTCTGGGGGCTGTGTATAAAAGCAGGCAACTTGGCCATAATAAACCAGTTCCTTTTCACCCTTCACTAAGTCTAGACTAGTGTTTGGGTGTAGGAGAGCTTTAATTACTAGAAGCTGGACCCTGTTCAAGGGTGGGAAGCGATGGCAAGACCACAGCAAAGCTGCAGCGGCTAGGGTCAGGAGTGCTGATAGTATTTGAATATAAAGAATAATCCAGGCACTCCAGCATATTCCAAAATGTAGGCAATCTTTATTGGAACAAGGAACCAAAAAGCAACGTTTCGACCCCTTAGGAGTGCTGGTAGTGTCCTGGTGATAGCTAGGGAGCGTGCTTGGCGAAGGTACCCATGGTACCAGGCGGTCCTCATCACAAGGACGGCAGTGTAGTTTGACTGCACTTGGGAGGTGATGCTAGGAGTGAAATATGGAAAATGGGGCAATAGCAAATATAAAAAAGAAAAATGCACAATCAGAAAAAAATTGGCTTCTCTGGCAAAATATACTAAGATGGCTACAATGAGAATATATCTCATTATTTTATGTAGAATCATTAGTCATTATCTGCAATAAATTCCACGTTTCATTATTTATTAATGAGATCTTGTTTTTTTTGTACAGGACCATTTTAATCTTCCATTTGAGGAAAAACATTTTTTTAACTAGCTACAAAGGGGTTAAATGGATGGGTCCTATACTATAAATATATTTTACATTAAAATCAGATTGATTACACTCACCTGATGGAAACCATGGCAACCCTGAGATATTATCTATGGATTTGTGTCAAATGTCTTTGATAAATGTCTGTCTGTTTGCCTAATAGGTTGGTTAAGCGGTGACACTAAAAGCATGACTTGCATCAGGAGGACAGTCACTGTAACTCAATGTGATGGGGCATGGGACACATGACAGTGAGTGAAGATTAACAAGACATTATGTATCTATCAGTAAACGGCTACTAGATAAATCTCTGCTACTACATGTCAAAGGTTCTATGCGTCATGGATGGCTATAAATATCCAGAATAATTGAATTTGTTTTCACTTGAGCAGGCAAAGTTGGGTTCTCAGAAGATGAGATTTCGTGCTCCAGTAGTGTCCACAGAGCTTAGAAGAGACTGAAAGCGGTGTAATTTTGTGATTAATAAATTAATTATTAAACAGGTAGAGTTTCATTGTTTTTTTTTACAGTTGTAAGTCTAAAGGAGTACTCATTTCATGTTTTATATTAAATACCCAGGGTAATTAACGTAGGCAGATCTCATTTGTGATTTGTGACTCTTTCAATTTAACTTGGGAATATTTCTGCTCTTTTAATGTTTCAGTGTTTCACTGGGAGGAAACTATCTGAAAGTACTTTATTTTAAATCAGAATTGTGCCTTGTTTACCTACACAGACAGGAGTTCCAAATGCTGGGAGATACATAAATACAGTTAATTGGCCCTCTATAGAATCACATACTGTAAGAAGAAGACAATTTAATAATCATGAAAGTTCATGTGAGATACCTTTTGTGATTAGCTCATTTCCTCTGCCAGTCTGAGCATCCATCTGGTACAGTGCTATTTAGATTGGTAGTAGTTTGGCACAAGTGGGAATTAGAGGCACTGGGCAACCATCGGGAAGCATACATATATCAGGGACGGAGTGGATGGGTGAACGTCTTTCTAACCATACACAATGTATATGTCTGAGGGGGGATATACTTCCTTCTGTTTTTTTAAGTATCTGTACAAGCCCACTCATACTATTTAATCCCTCACGGGCTGCATATTTCTGAGAAATAAGGGGAGCTATCATGTAGTCTCATACCCTTGTCATACAGGGTAAATTACACAGGGTATGGAGGGAGAGGACAAGTGACATGGGAAGGAAGAGGGTGTCAAGTGATGTTGGGACAGAGGCGAGGACAAGTAATGTGGGGACAGAGGAGAGGACAAGTAATGTGGGAACAGAGGAGAGGACAAGTAATATGGGGACAGAGGAGAGGGCAAGTAATATGGGGACAGAGAAGAGGACAAGTAATGTGGGGGCAGAGGAGAGGACAAGTAATGTGGGGGCAGAGGAGAGGACAAGTAATGTGGGGAAAGAGGAGAGGGCAAGTAATGTATGGGACAGAGGAGGGGGCAAGTGATATGGGGACTGAGGAGGGGGCAAGTGATGTGGGTACTGAAGAGAGGGCAAGTGATGTGGGGACAAAGGTGTGGGAAAGTAACATGGGAAGGGAAGAAAAGGCAAGTGACATGGTGAGGAATGAAGATGGAAGGGAGGTCAACTGACATAGCAGGAAGTGAGAGGTCATGTGACCTGTTAGGAGTAGAGTAAAAGAGCTTTAGAAGAAGTAATGTATCAAAATGTGAATCTATGGTTAGATTATAGAAACTTTTGTATTTGTTATAAAGTATATTTATTATGACACACAGAGGCGGCTCTAGACTTTATGAGGCCTTAGGCAAAACTCAAACATGAGGCCCCACTAACACCTAAAGTGAAAAAAATAATAGGGTTGCATTTTATGTGTGTAAGGAGCAGTCGCTATATTGAAAGGCGGGCTTGCTGCGCTGGATACAGAGAGTTAGTCTCTGCATTCATTGTTCAGAAGCTTGCAGTGTAGCGGCTTCCAATGCCCCTGCACTGTGAGTTATTTGGCTGTAGTTGTAGCATAATTTGCAAACAAAATTAATTTACAATAAATAAATTTAATTTGCAAGAATGCCAATCGTTTATACACAATTGTGGGGTATGGTTGCATAGCCTGCCAGTCGTGTATAGATAAGTACTGGTGTAAAGGGGTTATTGGAAACAAAAATAAAAATTTAGTTTGAGCAAAAAAGCTTTTAAAAAATAATTTACTAAATAATAAAGTGTGTATGATGTATGTCTTCAGCTGATGACTGTGATAGGGTTAGTAAAGGGGTACCAGTGGCAGAGAGAGTGTGACAGGACAAAAGAGGTAAATGGGACAGGGTGGGAGTTGTGAGAGAAAATGAGGGGGGGGGGGCAAGTATGACATGGTTTGATGAGGGAGTGTGACAGGGCGAGTGGAGGTAAGTGTGTCAGGGCATGGTAGGAGGGATGAGCTTGACAGGATTGGAGGGGTTAATGTGACAGGGTAAGTATGGCATAGTTGGTTAGTGTGTGAGTATCACAGGGTTGGTTTGAAGGGTGAATGTGGCATGGTTGGAGGAGGGAGTGTGACAAATATGTACACAAAATATGAAAATTCCCCAGATGTGACAGTTCCCCTTTAACCCCTTAAGGACACGACATGTGTGATATGTCATGATTCCCTATTATTTCAGAAGTTTGGTCCTTAAGGGGTTAAACTGTTGTATAAAGGCATGAAATCTGTTTGTGGGGTATAATATTTAATCTGTAGTTGTCATAATATCCTAAATCAATATCTGATTTTAAAGAAAAACATTCATTAGATACATGCAAATTCTCCCCGAGGCAATCTATGTTGCTCATCATAATTCCCTC